GGGCTGCTTGGCCTGGCTCATGGCGAACCCCGGAGCTGTCCACCAGGGAGGTTTGGAGACGGGCCGGTGGAAACGGCGAGCCCTGGCCATACCGACCTGGTGTATGACGATCCCGGGGTGGTTCCGCAGCGAGACTCGGGCTGCGATAGCCCGGGGCAGCCAGCCTACGCAGCGCTGGCGAGGGAAGGGCCATCCCCATGCATGTACACGAACTCCGACTGCGAGCTCTGATCGACGGGCGACGACAACGGTCGGCGGGCCCGGACTGCCGGTTCTCGACGAAGGGCAACCGGGAGGTACAGTGCTAATCACACTTGTCTATAACGCGCGAGCCTGCGGCCTTCTCCGGGGAGCGCTAGACTGGTGGCATTCGCAGAAACTAAGCTAGTCACGTGACGCAACATGGAACGGCCCGCTCGAGGGATGTCCTGCCTACTCTATCAGCTGATAAGCGATAAAAGTAAAGTGCTTTGTGAAATATTTTTGTTTTTTGAGGACGACATCATCATGCTTCAGTTTGTTTATTGTTCGAGCAATGATGTTTGTAAAAAGCGTGAAAGCAGCGTTCCGCGTTCGCCGCCAGCTGATAGAGTGGGCAGGACACCCCTCGAGCGGGCCGGTCTATGTTGCGCCACGTGACTAGCTTAGTTTCCACGAATGCCACCAGTCTAGCGCTCCCCGGAGAAAGCCGCACGCTCGCGCGTTATAGAGAAGCACGGGGTCTCACACCGACGCGGACATCTCATTCCAACAGTTTCTTGATGAAAGACGGTGCACGTCTTGCCCACAACCCATCGCGCATGCGTAGGGGAGTTCCGGTTTGTCTGTAAATATGAGTTTTTGTGCTTCGTGAGTCGTTCTTCGACGTTCTTATTGGCTCATGCTGCGATCTGATTGGCCGCGGTGCGATAAAAATATGCAGATGACCCACGTCTTGTCATTCTTAAAGGGGCACTGACACCCCAAAGGTCATATTTTTTTTCATTGTCTAAAACGATGCAAATTGTGGTCATAAACGCGAAAAAAAAAAAACGCATCGCGAAAAAAAAGATTTTGCGCGTGGCGCGCCTTTTTATTTTTGGCGTTTTATTCTCCCGCCTCTCGCCTCCTCGCTTCTTTTGATTCGTGACGTCAAGAATCATGAAATTTAGAAGCTTTGTAGGTGACATTTCTATAACATTTAATAACGGCAATCGTAAAACATGTTTTTTAACGCAATTGCGAGCGCACTACGGCCCTCCTTTTTGAAATACCAAAGATCGGAGTCCGTTGTGGTGCCGTCTCCTGGATTTGTATCCTACCACGGAAAATAGTCGACACCGCTCAAAACCGGTCCGCCGGCGCTCGCTCCTTTCCTCCTCGCTTTGGGTTGCCATAGCAACAGCAGGAAGTCGTGAAAGAAAGTGGACTCTCAGGACTCCGCAATATTTGACGTCAACGCACCGGCGCGGATCGTGCGGGAACTTCCAATTCGGCATTTGGATATTGTTTTTTTACTTCACAAATACTGAATTTCTAAATTTTGAATTTTGAGGATAATGTCCTAACATCGTCTTCAATCGTTTCGGATAATAAAAAAATATAATTTTGATGTGTCAGTGCCCCTTTAAGCTCTCAGTTACTTTGATAACCCCACAGACAGACTTTTCCGAAACGGGAGTCAAAGGGTACTCCGGAACAATGCATCCTGTTGCTTAATTCGTTACACATACTAAATAGAGTGAGCCCTATTATGGGTCGGTTCTTCACGTTACCTAGAAGAACCAACCCGTAAACTCACGCGAAGAACGCTAGGAAACGGAGTGGATTCTAATATAGTACATAAACCACGAAGAAACTTTTTACTTCTGCAGCCATGACTCAATGTGTTCCGCATAACGACTGAGCAGGTGTCGGCTGTCGCACTCCACGGTGATGGATCGTATCGAGCGTACATTGAGCTTAAGGTCTGTGGGAGCCGAGGGTGAAAGACGAGGCAGAGGGCACGTGACAGGCGGTCGGAGGAGAAGTCACGGGCTGGCGCGAGACAGTGCGTGTTCAGCGAGGCTGGAGCTGGGCAGGAACGACGGAGCCGGGCTGCTTGGCCTGGCTCATGGCGAACCCCGGAGCTGTCCACCAGGGAGGTTTGGAGACGGGCCGGTGGAAACGGCGAGCCCTGGCCATACCGACCTGGTGTATGACGATCCCGGGGTGGTTCCGCAGCGAGACTCGGGCTGCGATAGCCCGGGGCAGCCAGCCTACGCAGCGCTGGCGAGGGAAGGGCCATCCCCATGCATGTACACGAACTCCGACTGCGAGCTCTGATCGACGGGCGACGACAACGGTCGGCGGGCCCGGACTGCCGGTTCTCGACGAAGGGCAACCGGGAGGTACAGTGCTAATCACACTTGTCTATAACGCGCGAGCCTGCGGCCTTCTCCGGGGAGCGCTAGACTGGTGGCATTCGCAGAAACTAAGCTAGTCACGTGACGCAACATGGAACGGCCCGCTCGAGGGGTGTCCTGCCTACTCTATCAGCTGATAAGCGATAAAAGTAAAGTGCTTTGTGAAATATTTTTGTTTTTTGAGGACGACATCATCATGCTTCAGTTTGTTTATTGTTCGAGCAATGATGTTTGTAAAAAGCGTGAAAGCAGCGTTCCGCGTTCGCCGCCAGCTGATAGAGTGGGCAGGACACCCCTCGAGCGGGCCGGTCTATGTTGCGCCACGTGACTAGCTTAGTTTCCACGAATGCCACCAGTCTAGCGCTCCCCGGAGAAAGCCGCACGCTCGCGCGTTATAGAGAAGTGTGATTAGCACTGTACAGTAAACGCATTCGTTGTCTTCTCGTTGTGTCACATCACTCCCTGGGTGGCGAGCGAAACGCATACCGATTGGGCGATGATTATTAGTAGAACGACCTCCAGAAAGAAACCTTGACGATACATATACAATACTGCGATAATCGAGGCACGAGCGAAACACCAGGTGATAAATTCGCAGAAGGCAAAGTCGGTCGGAGCTCAAAGCTACAATGACACTCTAATACATCACGCAAAAGACAATCTGCAGAAACTGTCTGAAGCGTGCTTCTTCCCTGTGGGCATTCTTTTACACGTTATTCGAAAATAAGTAATCTTTTACAATTACAATTACTTCTAGTTGAAAAGTGTTAAAGTAGATTACTTTATTGCTGGAGAAAGAAATAATTGGCTGTTACTTAAAGAAGTAACCGTTACTTTTCCAATTACTTCAGATTTCCAAGCCGACAGAGCTTTCTGCTGGTTTGAAAACAGGCTTTTCGTACTGCCTATTATCTAATTAGAATCACCGATTTAGGAGCTATTTATCTTCTTAATGCACCAGTTTGGATAAATCGGAGACTTGGTTGGAGGATTTCATGGTAGAAGGCCTGTACAAACAAAGGGCACCCTTAAAAAAGGGAGGGGAAAATTGTAATTGTTACAAGTATAGTTTTAATTCTTCCGAAAGTAATCCGATTACTCACAATTTCCATGTAAAATGTGATACAATGATGACAAATCTATTTCAAAAAGGAGCCGATTTTAAGTTATTTGGTTAGAGAGCTTTAGGGAACCGTTACTGCACATCCAATACGGTTCAATAGGCCCTCCGGTACGAACTGCGTATGCGCATGTCTTCTCCTGTAGCACGTGTGCAGTTCTTACCGGAGGGCCCATCCTACCGTATCGAATGTGGAAATACGGTTCCCTAAAGCTCTCTATTAGAAAGTTTTAGGAAACCGTGTTTGCACGTCCGATACGGTGCGATGGGCCCTCCGGCACCAACTGCGCATGCGCTACAGCAGAAGACGCGCATATGCGCAGTTCGTATCGGAGGGCCCATCGTACCATGTCAAATGTGCAAAAACGCTTTCTAAAACTTTCTACCAACTTGTAGTGAGTACCGTGCAAGTCTGCCGTGGATGACGGTTCTGTTGCACTGATCGTACGAACAAAACGGCTGCAGACATATTCGTCGCATATATCAAATATGCCGGAGGCGTGTCCGCGCATAATCCACCTTTTTCGGATGTGCCCAGAGCAGTGCGCATGCGTGCGATACTCGACGCTCCTGGGTTCGAAATTGCGAGCTACCGGAACAGATGTGTCATCTTAAATGTTGGGCACAAACCTCGTTTTCCTACCCTTTTTCGATGAAAATAGTTTTTTTAATTTATTTTCCAGGGGTAAATAGGCGTTCCGCCGAGTTACCCAAGCATCAAAGAGAATGCCGGGAATGTAGGTACACGTGCTGCGCGTGCTGTCTTGTGTAGCTGAAACTGTTCCAATGCGAAAATCTAAAACAAATGACACTTCGCACACGCGTTCCAGAAACGCTTTATTTTGGTTATTTTCTCCGACTCTTTTGTATAGGGAATTAAGGTGAGCGCGTGCAGCATGTGTACCTACGTCCCCAGCATGCTCTTTGGTGCTTGGGTAATTTAGCGGACGCTCTATTTGTTTTGATCCAAACCGTTCAGCCCCCTCCAAATGTTAACGTGAGGTGTTCAACGCAAGTATGTAGGCGAAAAGAGGAGAGAGGGATACTTTTCATCGCGTCGAAGGAACGAAGCAACGACAGCGATCGTGTTGTCGTCATTGCGTGAGCCCATCTGTTTTAATGGAATGCTTAATCAGCTATCTTATGTTATTGAAACGTTTTCGACTGTACGGTGTCGGTTATCATCCGCTATCGTAAGTCTTTTTCTTGTGAGCCTAGCGGCATGGACTCTTGCCACAACAACATGGGGTTTGTTTACATGTACAGCGGTCAGGTAGGGTTTCGCGCAGTTTTGGGTAACGATTACCCAATTGTCCGCCTCAAACGCGAACAAGACTCGCTCACCCGCAGGGCTCGTGTCTAAAAATCCTAGAAATCCTACCAATGCACCCAAATACCGTGGTCAAATCGGTCAATAAAAAGCCTTGCGAACGCGTTGTTTTCTATCCACGCAGTTTCGAACCCAAATGTCCCTATAGGCGGCAGCATATATTCTTAAAAAAAAAGGTTGGATTCTGTCATCTTGTCTGTACCAAACACATTGTCTTTTGTATAATGTATACGAGGAGTGAATCTGTGGCTTTAAAAAACTCTGTATTTTTTGCAAGCCACGACAAAGTCGCCAGTGCGCGAAGCGCGTGCACCTAGCAACACTCCAACAAAAATGTCAGCGCAGCATGATAATGTTACGGAAGTTTTGCACACTCATGTGTAGTGTCCTTCGTGGCACGTATACGTATGTCTAGCATGTCCTAACAACACTGATTGTACGCTTCAGTGTAAAACCGTAAGCATGAATTACAAGCTCATTTTTTAGAGCCACTCGTGGTCTTCACTTTTCATCCTCGTTGTATTGTTTGTTCTCACGGTGTCCTGACCGGGCAAGGCCTATGTCCGCATCCAAGTTCTCGTCGATCTTGTTCAGGCGCTCGGAGGCTGTGCACTCCAGGGTGCGCTGCATCAGCGGGTACGCGGCGAGCACGGCGGTGAAGTGCTCCACGGACAGGGAGAAGAGGTTGCAATAGGTCTCGGCGCGCACGCTGGCCACATTTCGCTGATTGGTCAGGAGGCACATCTCTGCGCAGAGAACAGAAAAAAATGGCTTGTTGGTGTATTCAAAGCCACCTGCGTTGACTAAACAAAGGAACAAACAAACACACAAAAACAGCCAGACAAAGAAAATACATTATTATTTTCACTTGGGGGTTAAGGCTTGTACACGTGCTTGAGTCTAAACGAGCGCATTGTAACCGCGTGTAATCACTTACGACGCCAGAACACACTGGCGATATTTATCGGATAATCCTGGAACACTTCCGGACATGCGTGTATATTTCACGCAAACATTTATTTGTTACCGCGTGCTTAAACTCATTTTGACAATGGTAAAAGATACCATTTCTCATAGATAGTGAGTATAGTTGATCAAGAAAGTATTTAAAAACTTTTCATCTAGTTATTCGCAGATGGGGAGTGTTCTAGGAGAAATGGCGTCAGTGCGACAGTGTTTTCCAGATGGTAAGTGCTTCATCTGCAATAGTCTCCATCTAGTTATTCGCAGGTGGGAAAGTGTTCCAGCAGAAATGGCGTCAGTGCGACAAGCTTTAAGTGCCCCTTTAATCATTCATTGCTAAAAGTCTTTCTTTTTACATAATCGTTGGCACCATGGCGCGTAACGCAGAATGGCTTGATTACTTTTGGCTTCCGTATCACACCTCCTACGCGAAAAGGAACGCTTGTGGCACAGACACGCATTCATTTTGAAGATACTGGGACTAACAGATGCGTCCTAGACTCACCTCCAAAATAGGACCCATCTGAAAGACTGATAGCTACGTCTCCGTTGCTCATCAGAATATTCACGATGCCTTCCTGGATGAGGTACATCTTGATACCAAGCGTCCCTTCCCTGACGATGACGTCACCTGGCTGGAAGACCTCGTACTTAAGCTTTGATACTACGTCACTGACGAAGTTGGCGTCAGCGTTGGCGAAGAACGGCACCGATTCCACCAGGGTCCGGCAGTTGAAGGTGATTAGATCCTGCAGAACATTGTTTGCGGGTCATTGTAATCAAGGGTGACTACTTCAGTAGAAGAAACGCAAAGGTTACGCCAACAGTTGCACAGGATTGGTTACCTCCAACACACAACAGGATGTGTTCGTTGCAGGCCCTCAACTGTTGCAGCATATGGAACTAACTATAGTTCGATCAGCTAGATCAGATCAGCGCCTAAACAATCAATAGCACAAAGATCCCAGAGGAACACCGCAGAAGTACGCGTTTGGACGAAACAAAAAGTGACCATTCCCTTCTAGAGGCCACTCTTCAATCTGAGTCTATCTATCATTAAAATATACGTTCTAACCCAAATATTATTAAAGTTGTTGTGATTGAAACAATTAACCGTGAAAACCTAAGACCTTGGCAAGATGCTTAGACTAACCTCCACGGCGAAGACGACACTGGTTTTGCTATGGGTCCGATATTCCCTTCAAGTTGGCCGAACTCAACATTTTGGTGAGTGCTAAATTGCTTTTTGCTGGTCATTCTTTTTCGATTAGTTGTGACTGATTGAATAGGTTTGGATTCGTCAAAATAGAAGTGCATAAAACTTTTATAACTCAGCTTTGAGCTTCGTACTCTTTCCCAACTGGCACACCAACGTAAAAAGTAGTCGGTCTTTACGACATACGTTAATTGATCCTTTTGTAAATTTTGTTAAAAAAAAGTGAAAGCCGTTTACAACTCCCTGTAATGTCGAAATAGAGCGTAGCTTTTGAGGAGGAGGAAACGGTACTGAAGGGGGGTCACGTGACCACCCTCCCCGAGGTCACCAAAGGTGCCCGAGGTCCTTCCGGGGTCCCCCCGAAGGAACCCCAGGTCCTCCCTAGGTCCTCCCGAACGAACCCGAGGTCCTCCCGAAGTGCTCAAGAGGTCCTTGGGGGGGGGGGGGGGGGGGGGGGTGAGGGGGGGGCTCGCGGTTACGCCGACGTTGACGCCGACGCCAAAGGCGACGGCGACGGCGACGGCGACGGCGAGGCCGACGCCGCTCAAGCCGGAAACGGGCGCCTAAGACTGCGCTCTAAAATGAAAGCCAGAGTTTCTAGATAGCAGACATGACATTACATCGCTAATTGTCGTCTGTCCACGACCACTTAAGTATTGCTTTAAAAGAGGCAACAATTAAGCATTGACGAACATCTAGTGCAAGATTAGTCTTGAATAATTATTCAGGATTTGCCCACCTCTCGTAGCCCCCCTGAGAGCTCTCCGAAAATGGCCTCCTCGTCGAAGAATTTTCCCTGGTAGCGGTGCTCAAAGTAGTCTGTGATCCTTTGACGAAGACCACTGGGAAGCTTATGGTACGCCATGTATTCTTCTACTTGCTTTATCTGTGGGCAAGGGCAGGTCACAGTAAGGTTGGCACCTCTGCCAGAATCTCATCATATTATAATTTCTGCTAGATGAAACATGCATTTTTTTCTAGTTTCAGAGTAAAAGCTCCAACCATTCAGCTAAAAGTTAAAGTTGTGTCTCTTAAATATGATCTAGTTATACTGTTTGAAATTGGTGTATAGCGTCCAAACATTCTTAACAAGTCGGTGACATTCAGTGGCAGTCTTGAAAGCTTTAATATTTCCGTACGAATGGCGATGCTATGATAAGAACATCGCCTTACTTCAAGCGCCTTCGACTTCAAGAATCAAAAACGACGTACATGGGGCAAATTGTTAAAAATTTTTTCCCATTTTCTGCCGTCTGCATTCGAAGATGTTGGCTTTCCCTGGCGTTGAGAGGCGGTGCATTGACCTCATTAGAAAGTCTTGTTCGGCTCTGGACAGGGTGAGTTGACCGCATTTTGGAAGGAATCTATGGCAAGCACTGCGTCCCGGCTGGTGCCCCATGCTTGCAAGCACTGAAGCTTTGAGCGTGAACAATTGACAAGCTTCCTAATGCACGTGCTTGCTCACACGGGAAAAAACAAAGCGGTTACCAAGAGCCCTGATTGAAATCATATAACTATCAGGGTTCACTAAAGTTCAGACTCGCTTCGATTTCGTAAGAGGTTTGTGTGAAGTCCAAGTTCCTCTGCTTCTTTTGCAGGGATGATGGTGACGTCCGGACGCCGAGCTTTGATTGGCTATGATTGAAGGATAGTGGGTAGACCTCAAAGCAAGCTACCTTGTGGTCTACCCACAATCCTTCAATCAGAGACCATCATAGCTCGGCATTCTGACGTCACCACAACCCTGGAGAAAAAGGCAGACAAACTTGCTCTCCGAATTGACTATATGCTCGCTTCCTTGGCGGTATAATTGTTAAAATTCCAGAAAAAAAAAAAAACACTTCTCACCTTCTCTTTGTATTGACGACTCGAGGAGTCTAGGGACAGTATAAGGTTTGTGACGTGACCCAGCAAAAAGGCGTAGCAGGCGACACCGCTGATTATGCTCAGCAGAGTGAGCCACATATCCGCGAAACTCTGGGGTGGGAAACGGCCGTAGCCTACACAAAGCATCTGGGACACAGCCTTGAACAGGGACCACGAATACTGCTCAAACCAGCTTTTCTCCTGAAAGAAAGAACGCAGTTCTTGTTGGGTTCCAGACACTTTTAAAATGTGCATGTCCAGTAGCTGTTGCCCCAATTATCCGAGACCCCAATTCTTTGGACGCGTACAAATTACAACTTGTAAGTGAGAGCGAAAATAATTAAAAATAAATTATGTCTGCAGCACCTAACGGTATAACAGGTCTAAATCAATTAAATATAAATAAAAGAATTCGAATTGAATAAAATATTTTTAATAAGCCAATTACAAAGAAAAAACTGGAAACTACGAAGCCAGAGTTATTGGAATGTAACTGAAAAGAATCAGAAAAAGAACCTAGCAAGCCTAGTTATAGGTTTGCTAGGTTTGCCTGAGAACAAAGAATGGTTCTTGTCTTCTAGCTGGTGGACGACGACGACAAAGGCTTGTGCATGTTCTGTTAGTTTTATTCTGTTAATTCTGAAAGAAGAAATATTGCACATAAAAAAAGTATTCAGTATGTTATGGCTGATGTGTGGTGATGAATTTACTCGTATTCAAGTGTTCTTAGAATTTTTTATGCACATAAGTGGGTCGGAGGAGGAGATAGTGATACATTAATATTGACGGAGACAGGTATTCATTGAGTACTTTAATTACCTGTTAAGTATTTGAGCCATTATTTAAGCAAGCTGTGATTGAAAGCTCAGGTTGTATTTTAAAGAAGCTGTAGATGTGTTTACAAAATCCTTTAGCTTTATTTTTTACTTTTATTTTTACTTTTTTGGGGCTGAGCGCAGTGTTCCCTTTCAGGTACATAGATAGATAGAGGTGTAAGCGACATGTAAATCTAAATTTAAGATGAATATTTCAAAAACATGTATTGTATTTAGCAAGTTTTCTATTTTTTAGTAAGGGACTTTAAATTTCAGAAGAACAGTTTAAATTAGTTTATCTCATTAAGATTTTGTGGAGCAGTGAGGTTGCATGGTCCGCTAAATTTAAATATCAATATTTTATTTTATGTTTTCATATTGTATGTTTTCATTTTACATATTTAACTTAAGGTATTTGAGGTATTAATTCGTTTAATCTTTTGAGAGTGGTCTTTACATCTTATGTTTTCTTTTAGGTATTAAGATATTTGTGGTATTAGTTTTAATGTTTAAGTATGGCTTTGATATCTTATGTCTTCAAACTGGTATAGTCATTATGTTTATTTTACGTGGAAAGGGTGATTTCAACATGTAGCATCAAGACCATTCTTAAAAGATAGTTTTAGTACTACAAGCTTGTTGGACAGATGCTCGTGTTCAACACACTGAGTATCTATTGGACCCAACTGCTGCGTCAGCATTCGGCAAGTCTCGGATCCAACCACAGGCTTCCTGACCAAGAAATGACCGCGAATGTTGCTTGTTGAAATTTCGAAAAACACTCTTTTAATAGTGGGAAAGGCGCTGGGTGCGAGCCGAATGAATAAAATTAAACGGCGATTTCCTTTTTAGGTGTCGGGGAAGCAGTCTTCCATGGTACAAATTGAAACGAGCAATTATCAGACAAGAAGAGAAAAAGAGTTGTCGAGGAAAAGCGAATTAAAGGGTGCGTACGTAAAAAAGAAAAGCGCAGGGTAGTAAAATATTTGAATGTAAATGAATATATAAAGAACAAATTTAACTCGTCTTTCTTTTTTAAGGGGTTGCGAGTTTCCGGGCTTATTCCTAAAGTTCATCAACCGTAAAAAATAAGTACAAGAATTTATGCGAACGCACCAACTTCTCAAATATGTCGTCCAACATTTTTCACAGTTCGACTGTTTGCAATCTTCTCCTCGACTTGATCCCAAGTAACTTTATATCAATAGATTTTCTTCGCCTTCGTAGTCAGCCTGCATGTTCCCCTTCTCACCGTATAAAACCGCCGCCCTTTAACTTCTGGAAAGTCCTCTAAGGTCATGCCTCCGAACTTCTTTCGTGTTTCCTTTAGTATTTTCTTATGGGAAGTCTTCTAATGAGTCCATCATTCATGTCGTTAAGTGCCTGCATCAAGGCCGGCTGCTCTGCCGACGACGGAACTCTAGATGGACAATTAGGAACGTACCCGATCCCCAGCTCTTTTTTATTCACCTTTAACGCTCGAAGCCTTCTTGGCGTCCGCCTTCGAGTCGGTTGCTAGAACCGGCCTCTATTAACTCTGGTTAACTGCCACTTGTCGTTAAAATCTAGTAGCAGTTAGTGCTTTTCGATGTCGCCGACTGCTCCGTCGGGCGCCGCCTTTCGTATTGCTATTCAATTTGTACTGAACAGCAAAAAACTGCCTAGAGGCACGGCTTCTCAAAGGGCACAGATGAAGCATCGTCGATTTTCGCGGCAGAAGTTCAAGCCGGAAGTATACGCTACGTTAAACACTCCTATACTAAAGTTTTTGACGCACCTGACTTAACGCGTTCCTAATTTTTGTTTTCTAATGAGCACTGTTTTCGGGTTAGCTTAACCACGTCCACAAGTGCCTCTACAAACCAATTTGTATCCAATAAGGTTTTCCTTGTTCAATTTATTGTTGCTGTTATAGATGCTGTTTTTGAGTGCTGGGTGCATACCGGAAGATATTGATGTTATCACCCATATCGGTCTTTCTTCGTCGGCGATGTCACTAACGTGCGTCATCGAGCTTGCTTGTTGTGATGTTGCGTAGTGGCACGAACAAAAATTAGTATATTTTATCTTTATAAAATAACGTGTTTTTTGTGGGAACTCTGCTCAATTTCTACATCGCCTCTTCTTTATAAACTTCGTTTTAATAGTCACCGAAAATTAATCGTGAATAAAGATTATTGACGCGTATATTTGAGATATATATGAGCGGTGTTCGTCGTTTTTTTCGCTAATCGGTACATTATAGGCGGGCTGCAGGGCAGTGAATTGTGTGCTCACCTCGAGCTCGTTGATGGCAACCCAGGAATTGGAAGGGAACCCCCGCAGCATGGGGACGAGAAACTGAAGGCACCCGTTCCAGTGAGAAATGAGAAGCATCATGCAGATCAGGTTGACAATTCTCACGAACACGCTTGACCTGTTGAGAAACTGCAATGGAAAGAAACGGGGAACAAGGAGCAAAAGAGGCGATGACGTCAGAGATTGGGTTGCTTTTGAAGATACTGTTGGAGGTGTGCAAGTTAAAAGGGCTTAAGCTATTTTATTCAAAAAAATGGCCTCGGTGCGTTGGGAGGTCGGTTCCTTCTGGTTGGTATCAGGTAACTACTGTCACACGGTTCATATATCATACAAAAAGAGATGGTGTTCGTGAAAGACATGATGAGAGTATTACCTGCGGGTGTGTTAGAAGCACTTTTGCTGCATACATCTCTGCACATGTTCGCTTTAAACATTTCTGCACACTCTTGTTTTACGGTCGTTGTTCCAGAACCATCATACAAGGAAAAGACACGCTTCAGACAGCGTCTTCAGACTGCCTATTGTATTATTATTATAGTGGTGTGGCCACGGCTTAAAGCAGTGTATCTTCTGACGTGTTTCGAGTGCCGCCATTGCTTATTACGAGAGTTCCCTTATCAAATACAAAAACCAATTAAAATTTTTTTTATTGAGTTTCACAAGAGGACGCGCGGGTCCTGATTGGCTTGCCGAAGCTACACCGGCGACGCGGCGCCGTTTCCGTGCTTGCTCCGACAGATAGATTTCACTAAGCGTTCGGCGCATGCGTGATGCCGCCATAAATTTAGATCACGGAGGCAGACGGCTGTGCATGCGAGGGCTCGTGCCGTCTCGTGCCCCACAAGCGCAGAGATTCAACAAGTTTGTAGCACGTGCAGAAATACTAAAGTTCCCTCAATCATTGCGGCAGAGGTTGCGTAGCCAAACTTTCTGGTGAGATCGGTCTATTGGCGACGTGCGCGATCAAAAGCGTCGCTCTGATCGGCCTTCCACGATTAGCCCAGAGGTGTCTATGACGTCAGCGAAGGGTTTCTCTTCGACTAAAATAAGAGGAATAGAAGGACTTCAGACTTTAATTTTGGCGGTGTTGGCAGTGTTGCTTTAATAGCGCAGTTATTTCAAGTTTCCACCATGCTCATTACGAACACCATTGAATTTGCTATTCGCAAGGTAATGACGTCATGAGAGGAAACTATAGGAGTCGCCACCAAAACATCCCGCCGCTAATAGAGCTTTTGCCGAATTACCCGAGCATCAAAAGGAATGCCGGGGGCGTAGGTACAAGCGTGGCGTGGTGCCGTCTTCAGCTGTAACTGTTCGAAAGCAAACATCTAAAACAAATCGCACTTCAAACGCGCGTTCCATGGAGGCTTTTAGTTTGGTTACTTACTTCGAATTCTTTCTACAGGGAAGGCCAGTGTGTGCAGCGCGTGTACCTACGTCCCCAACATTCTCTTTGATGCTTGGATAATTCAGCAAAAGGTCTATTGGTCTCCAGAGACTTCCACGGCGACGCGCGGCCGGCGACGAACCTACTTCGCGGCGGCGCTCCGCTGCTTCTGACTCGAGTACGCCCCGTCGAGTGCACCACCTTAGGGGTAAACCTGCATACTCAATGAAATCCACCGACCGCTTTGATGAGCCGTACACTCACACCGCTAGTGAAAAATACAACAGATATTCTACAGACACTATCTGAGACTCTTTTCTTTCTTGTGTGAGGGTTTTGTCACAATGGCTAGAAAAAAAAGAACGAAAAAGAAATACAACCTTCTTGGAGTCAGGTTCATAATTGAAACATCGATGTGTATAAGAAAAACTGTTCCTCGAACTTGCTTCAGGAGTTGTCGAGGATAATTCTTTTATTATGTCAGCAGAGAAACTCCGTGTCTCTTGTACGGTATCTGAGCGTTGTTTCTGTTTCTTTAGCACTTCACCACGCACCGCCGCGAGCAATCGATCTGGTATTCTAGTTCCCCAGTGAGCAGCTAAGAGGGAGAAAGGATAAGATAGAAAAAGTATAAATGTGGTGTTTCTTTTCGTTCATCTACACATGCCCCCGGCCCTGTCGCCGCCACCCCTCAAGCAAATTAGATAAACCCGGTCGACCCAAATTCTCTGAGAAGATCTTAAGAAAGCAAAGGCCAAGGAACCTCATGCGTATAGATCAATACTCAGCACGCACAAGTTACGGCCTGTGGAGGTTGTTCTCTCTACAAAGACGCCGAACCGGCACTAGTATGACTCACATGACAAGAACAGAAATACATAAAAGAGAGAAAACAGGACCTCAGCCAGAAGACCAAGGTCTCGGATGTCTATTGGCACAACAGACGTACGCCACATATTCTGAGAATGCCCCAAGCATTGTTGGTATAAGAAATGTTATTTAACGAAGAATTCCCCAGTGCGCGAAGACCAAGAAGATGATCAGAATGAGTCACCCCAACTGGGGGAGCGGAACACCGTAAGAAAATTCTCGGATCCCCTGTTTGACGTCAAGTGCCCCCATTGCCCTACCCCTTGCCATTATCTTCCGACCCACATGAATCATGGCAAAAGAGCTCGGTGTAACCTTCCGTCTTAAAATGTTTACTTATTCATTTACTGGGAGCTTCGCAAAGCCGAATATTAAACTCTTAGGTTCATAAATTAACCACCGTGGAAAGAAGCCGTCTGAGTCGCTACGGGCCTGTCTACTGAACCGCGCACGCGACCCCCCTGGATCCATGGGTCATTTGCGAGCAAAACGAAAGGCGCTCTAAATTCAATCTTCGCTCGAGTACAACCAAAGCGTTTTAAATTGATGACAAAGTTTCATATTTCTTTGTATAACACTTACTTAGTTAACGCAATTTTAGAATATAGGTGGTCGCCTACGTTCCTCCGGCGGATGAACGGTATTCGCTGTTTTGAGACGAACACTGTTCATCCAGATAGTGTAATTAGCGGGAAAACTAAACCTAAAAGACAATTTTCACAAAATACCAACTAATAGTCTTGGCTCGTATGGCAATAAATCAGATTCGAGGATTGAGGGGATCCTGATCAAATGACTATATTTTAATTCGAAAGGTTTACGAAATCTTTTTCTTTTTTATGAAACTTAAAGCATGATTTAACTATATGGTGTCTGCATAACGCAAAAGCTGTTAACTTAAAACTAATAATTTTCGCTTCTCGGGCATCGGCCGTCCGGCAAGCCGAAGATGCCGCCCGGGTCCAAGGACTTCGAGCCGTCACCTGAGGCACCACCACCTCCATCTTCGAAGACGGGACAGGGGTTAATTCCCTCCTCCCCCATCTCGCCCTAAAGCAAAACTGCTCGACCGATTTGAATAAAGTTTATTCTCTCTCTCTTTCAGGCATAATCCAATCAATTTAATTTATTGCGAACTCGATTATTCGGGTGTAAAAGTTGCTATTATATTTAGAAAAAACAATTACTTTTTTTAATGTTCTACAGTCATTCGATTATTATGTACACTTTTATTTGGAATACATGTTTGATCGAAGGCGCGCGGAAACGAAAGGGCTGCACTTATTTCTTTGTTTAGAGACTAGTGTTTCTGGGCTGTCGGCAGAAAAGTTAACAAGAAGAACAACTTTAGAATAAATTAAACGATATCAAACCCGCGCCTGGAGGAGTTTTTGTGAAGCTCCGATAGAATATCGCGACGTCATAAGTTCCTACGAAGCAGCGCCTGTTCTTGGCAGTATGGCTCGTTCGTGGAGTAACTTAGTCCTGAATGTGCCTGGGTGGAGAATGTTAAAGAGTTTGCTATGTTGTATATGATAAAGCTTCCAGAGTATTTCCCTAACATGCATTCCACACCATCAAGATCGCCGTTTTCGCAGACTATACGTAGAGGCATGATCTGAAGATGCATGGACCTCTTCCAGTCTGGCTGTGAATAACGCGCTAAAATATGGCACCCAGTGAACACATCATATTCCCACGTTCGTTTCCGAAAAAGCGAGCCCATGGCGGAATGGTTATCGTCCTCGGCTCCTACACAAAGGGCTCGAGGTTCGATGCCGGGGGGCGGATGCGCCTTTTTGGTAGTTCTGTAAATTCGCGTCTGAGTGAATTTGAGAACATTGTTGTTTATTTGAGTTCCAAATGTTCTACGCGAAAAATGTTTTACATCGATTGTTCCAGAAGGCCACGTATGTACAGAAGGCCACGTATGTACGTACATGTACACTGACTGCGACACGCCACGCTCCGCCTGGCTTGCCTGAGTCAGTCTCAACTCAGCGTCCGATCCTGTTGTTTCGCCGCCATCGACGCCTGCGACGCTAGCCTTTTTTCTATCTTGGTTTGGGCACAAGTTCGCCCCATTAAACGTTTAGTTTGCTTTAGTTTTCATCGCCTCTGTGGCAGAAGCTGTGCGCGGTTATATACTAATTAAAGGAATTGAGAAATAAACAAAAACAACTATATTACATAAACTCGATTACAGAAATATACTATAAACAGTCATTGTTCAGGTCGGCGTCGCCGCGATCTTTCTCTTTCGAGTTCCTTCGTTCCACTGACGCACACTCATCTCCCCCCACATACAGACACTCGCCTAAGCAGTCCCCTCCCGAAACCTGTCTCCCCACTTCCCCCGGCTCCTCCTAAACGGGTACCCTCCGCCGCCAGAGTGTCTGGCTCGCAGCTGCAAGTCATAAAAGGGGCCTGTCGAACAGGAAGAAACGGGGCTCACCTGCGGGCCGCGGAAGCCGAAATCGCTGCGGAGGTCCCAATGGATGCGTATAAATGTGGTCTCCCCCTAATGTACATTGTTCGCGTATTGTGGAACAGCCTCATCAATTGTTATTCATGACAACATACCCAGGTTGCAGGTGTCGGTATTCCTGTGTACCGACAGTGATTTTTACTTGCTGGTTTCCTGGAGCTACTACAAATGCGGCCGGAAACTAACACCGTGAACCGAACGCTCGTGGCACATACAATACCGGCATAGCCGCGAATGACGTTACCGGCAAGCTATAGACCATAAGGCGTTCAGTCCTCGCATGTTACTGCTAGTCGAGATTGTCACGCGTCGACGCCACCAAGCGGTAACGCTCGCCACTACCGTAAACTTGGCCACGCACGAACTCTTGACGAGCGTGGTACGCATTGCGCTTCTAGCTGGGCAACTTTGAAGCGGGAGGTAGAAAACAGGCGTTTACGTCATTTTGTTTCCGTACCCCTTTAAAAGCAGCGCCTGTAGCGAAGAATTTCGCTGCTAACGACTAAGAGCAGTGGCGGACAACATTCGAAATTTTTTTTAGCTATGGAGGCAATACATTTATCCAAAAACATAGCAACGTGCGCCTCTGATCCTGCTGTCGGCGTTTAGCATGTGCCTTGGCTTCATATCACGCGAATCACGTTTCTACGCACGCGTAGTGCTCACACCTGGTATATTTGTAGAGTACAAAATTATTCTAAAAGTATTTGGTTAAGTTAAATTTGACCACCCGTAATTCGTACTGCAAGTGAATAAATGTTTGCTTATCAATATGTAGGTAATAGCCATCGGGTTCCGAATTCCGCATAGTCAGCAAGACAGTGCCAGCAAGCATCATGAAAAGTTAAGATATCAATCTTTATATGCGTTGTGAACATAATCTGTTCCTCTTTTCGTGGGACCTTGTAGCACTCTACAAAGAATATATATATTTTGCAAGTTCGTATCGATCGCTGATGTCGGCTATCAAAACAAACTAGACTACATGATCGCACTTCGTTGCTCACGGTAACTAAACCTGGTGCCTTTACGTGGGGCAGTTGAATGCGATTGATGAGGAGGCGAACAAGAGAACATTTCATTACATAACCCAGCTCTTGCCATTCGACGGTGACGACAAGCCAGGAAAATACGTTTGCACGTTAAGTTGCGTTTGTCTACGACTATAATGGCGAGTGACCAGAAACTGGTTAAAAGGATGGTGTGCAATGATGACCAGAATTTTCACTTTCCGGTCGAGTATTCGTCCGTGCCCTTGCACCACGCCAGAGAAAATACTTATTTGGCACAAGCTTGTTACCATGGGCATAATACGGTTTTCCTCCTGGCGTTAGTTAGTGCTAGTATACCGGCCTTTTTAGGCGTTTCTGTGGTTCGCCACATAATCGCCAACGTGCCAGCAGACTTGAGCTAAATATGCAACGTATTAACCAAAGAACCAGCAGCGAAATCCAAACCTGTTACTTATTTGCCACATTAGGCTCAAAGTTGCCACATGAAAATTTAACAACCAGAAGTGAATCGTAATCGTGGCACTTATTTGGTGATTTAGGCCCAAGGCTGCGACTTTGGTGCCAAAGCAACATCAGTGAAGCATAACTTTGGCACTTGTGCGGCGAATTCGGTACAAGATAACCAGACTGACCAAAGGAGAAAAAGTTTGGCTCTTCTTTGGCTTCCACGTGCTTTATGACCATAAATTCTCATGTAGAAACAAAACGTTGGCACGAAAAACGGTACTTCTTGTGTACTAGTTTCTTTATCTTTCCCTTTCACTAAGTCCCTTTTAGTTTCTTGAGAGCCTCTGGGGCAACGGCAGGTGTGGTAATTTTGCCATCGGGACAGGTAACTCCACTCTAAGAAAAGAAATGTATATTCTTGCACCCCTTATAACATATACGACACCCCAAAACTTCAGTTCGACGTAGAGCGCACTGACATCGAACCGACGGAACCAAATTGCACGATTAGCTTAATAGCTGAGTTCTCTAACTTGTCGAAATAGCTAATGTATGTGTGAGTGACTGCAAATAGCTCGTTGATACGTACTTTAACTGTTTTATATGTTATATTGCTCCGTTATCAATTCCCTCGAAAAAGTTCGGGCAGTCAGTTCGACGTCAGTGCGCTGTACGTCGAACTGAAGTTTTGGGGTGTATTATATGAGACAAAACAGTGTGAGGCTACAACTTTTCTTTTTTTTAAGTGTATCATGTTTACTGTTAATTTTTTTTAATTTTCGCTGGAGTCACTGATAGATTGAAAACGACAAGGATGGCCTTTAGTTGCCCCGCCTCCAGCAATAGCTTCCTACCATCGATGACGCTTCAGCGTATCGTGAGCCTCAGGCGTGCTTGCGCAGCCAATGCTATGCGGAAGGCAGAAGCGCGAGCCGGATCCTGGACGCCGGACATTCCAAAGAGACGCCCTGTCATTTTCATTCTGTTTGTGACTATAACAACTGTCTGTTGAAAGCAAAAATACACTTACGTAGACCTCTTCCAACCGGCTGACGTATCGAACGAGCCTCGACAGCCTCAGTAGCCTTGGGAGGCTGAGCATCTTAGCGATACGTAGGTTGCGTAATGCGCGGCCCGCGTTGAGCAGCTGGTAACTGCCGCTGTGGTCCTGGTTGAGGAGAAGAAAGGCGTAGTCGACCGGGATGGTGCTGATCAGATCCAGGAAGAACCAGGTACGGATGTAGCGGCAGGCGACCTTCCGCGGGTCCAGGATTACTTGCTTCGAGTTGTCCCGATTCAAGAGTCCTGCGAAAGCATGGCATCCCCGAAGAGGCAAGAATAAAATCAAGGAGTTCTTCGTGTTATAAAAGCTTACACGCAGAAATAAATTTGTACCTTCACAGTCCGAAACACTCAATGTACAGTGCTGAGTGTAAAGGCTCGTTTACACTGTACGATTTCTAACGTTAAGTTACGTTACGAACTGTTACGACAACTTACGACCACCCGTGACCATGGCAAGCAGCGACGCAACACGAGTTTTAACGTAATGCAAGGAGTTGGGCTTGGCTGAACTTTTCTTCAGAATTCTTACGACCGCTTGCGTTCGACCAATCGGGACTTGCGGAAGCGAAGCTCCTGGGCACGTGCGCTACGCTCGGAAGCCCGGCGGCCCGGCGCTGCTCTCCAATATAAGGTAAGGCAAATATGGCGGTGCCATGTATTGTTCGCTTTAGAGGAATTTTGTCATAGTGCTGCACTATTAGGAACGTTCAGCGGCAAGGAACGGTGCAGTACGCTTTCGCTTTGCCCTACCTCGTTTCAATTACAAAGCATGAGCGGTAATCTCACCTCACTTTTTAGATCGCCTTCTGAATGTGGCTGTTCCTAAGCCTAGAGGGACGCAGTAAGCTTTGACATGGCTACGTCTCGCAAATTTTAGTAAATTACGGCGGGTTGGAGCTGAGCGAGTCGGTTCATATCGTTTAATGGCACCAGCTGATGAAGTATGAAAACTACGCGTTCAACCACTGGGCTATCAAATGTATTGAAGCCTTCTTCCTCTACTACTATCCGTATCTACAACCTAGATGAAAGCACTATTCCGGCTTGATCGAGCCAAAACAGTCCTACTGTATTGTGTTGACTCGTTCGGCAGGACGCAGAAGCAGCTGGAGCCAGAGGTAGGAAAGCTAGACGAAGTTTTGCTAAATAATTCCAACATCAACAGCATACTGGCTGTGTAGTTACACTCACATGTTACAATGTTACAATCGCACATACACAAGCCGTAGCTAAAATCCGTGGGCATGCCTCCTTTCAGTCATGTTGCGAGCCTGTTAGCCCTTCTTCAAGAGCACAAACGCATTTTTTTTTTTTTTGTTTTGCAATCGAAGCAGGGCCAGCGGTGTACCAGCAGGCACCGCGGACGGCAGCCATATTAAATGATACGCTGTTGGCTGACTTTAATCATTACCAGAGGATTCATATTGATGGAAAAACAGTGAGTGTGCAGGCGAGCTGGTGGAAGTTGACCATGGCGTAGAATACCCGAGACTGTGGTAAAAGCTGGGAAACTTGGTCTAAAAAAAAAAAAATACAGGGGAAAAGAACTTCCGATTCGACGTTTCGTCCCCCTGTCTTTTTTCTTCGACCACGTTTCCCAGCTTTTACCACAGTCTCGGGTATTCTACATCATGATTCATATTGGTTCTTTCTTACGGACGGCAGGGTACAGTGTGAACGCACAGATCGTAAGCGGCCGTAACGTGAGTTGTCGTAAAAGTTCGCAACGTAACTTAAATAAGAAATGGCACAGTGTGAACGGGCCTTTAGGCGAGGACACCAGGACAAAAAGACAGGAGGAGAGTGCACAATTCACAGTGGCTTACAGTTCTCCTTCTTTTGAGCTTGTCTTCGAGTGCTTCCGTGTACCAATAATGAATTCATTTTATGTGCCAACATTGTTTTTGTGACGTCACAGTTTCACTGTTTTTTTTTAGATCAAACAAAAGGTTGAAGACATTTCTGAGAAGCGTTTGTTATCTGACGTGTTGAGGCATGCGTGATCTTTACATTTTCTTTTTCTGATGATCTCTTTGTTCTAACTTCGTCTTTTAATTATTCTGGTTTAGATGTGAGCTGCATAATATCAGAATTTGAAATGTTCATTTAAAGGGCAACTCCGCTTCATTTGTGATATTTAGAAAACTACGTAGCCCTCTTCAGTATCACATAGGAAGACCCCATGTCAAATATTACGATCTAATTCCGTCTATATATTTAATAAACTGGTCAGCAAACTTTCAAATCAGCCAAGTCGCCGGAATCTGCTAACTCCAGCGTCCGACGTGAGGCGCAATCGTCAGCGCAGTCAATGCGACGGAGTTGGAGCGGCCAACGTTGAGCCATACGTCAGAGGCATGATTACGTCCTTCTCACCTTTTGTTTGTTTTTACTTCTCAGAGCGAAATTGAACGATGACGTCATGAGTTTCTCCTCCCGGTGTTGGCTGAACGGCGTCCACGTGATCACCCTCAAGCGGATGCGCTAGTTTGCGCTGCCCTGCGCGCTTATCGGTCTGTTTCTCCGCTCCCCTTCTCCTCTTTTGTCTTCTCCCCCTCCCCCTCTCCCCCGCGCCATCACCGTCCACGCCATGCAAAGCGACCTGCCCGCGTCGCGTGTCCTGTCCCTCGCCCCCACGAACGTCACAAGACCACGTGGTTCGACGTGATGTGGCCATGACTCTGACGGCACGAGACCAATGTTGCCTGACGCAACCGAAGTTTCGGTTTCGGTATCAGCTGATGTTAAAATTAAGATTACACAAATATTATTCCACATTTTGCGAATCCGAGGACGTAGAGCTGTTTAGTAGCGCTTTGTGAAATGGAATCACATGTAAGCCTAAAATTTTCGGAATTGAGCGGAGTTGCCCTTTAAACGACCTGAACACCGCAAGCGCTGATAAAAGCAGCTTGCACGTGATTTCACAATCGTAGCTGGATTTTTCTCTAGTTAATCATAGGGGTCACGGCCTCCTGGCCAACTAACGAGGTGGCCTATATAGCTTGAAAAAGACAGTATGTATGCACGTGAGCTTTCCCGAGTCAAACGATATCATAAAACTTCTCCGAGACTAGGGTAACAAAATTAGGAAGTTTTTAATAGACAAAAAAAAAGAAACAAAATGACGTCATAATTGAGAAGGCCAATAACTAAAAAAAGAAACTTTAAAGCTAAAAGAACAAGAAACGAGCATGGTTCTAAGGGATGCCCAATCAAGGCACGTTTTTTTTTTTTGCAGTCATAGCATTTATTGTATCCGAAGTGGAGGTTTTCCTCTATTTCCAGTCCGACTTGGGACGATCTTTTAAGGCGGGGGGGGGGGGAGCTATTCTTTGCTTCCGTTCTTGGACAGAGGTGCAAGCTCCTCAGAGGTGCAAGCTCCTCAGAGGTGCAAGCTCCACAGAGGTGGAGCGTTCTCATCACGTGAGTTCGGACAGCCATTCACACGTTATGCTGTCTGTCATGAAAATTTTCGTTGTTGTTGCCAGCTCCCACCTTCCCAAGAACAAGCATTGAGAGGAGACAACGGAGAGGAGGCGAGAAGGAAAGCCGTGCTGTTTGCGTGGCATCCAAATTGAAAACGAAGGCGCGCGCCGCTACGTTTACGTTTATAATGCGAAAACACTAACTGTCCCATGGAGCTTACCGACGTCATCAGCTTTTAAAGCCGCGCCAAGCTGACCTACCCTATCCCAATGAAGCAAAGCCTGTCGTCTGTAGCAGAAATCTGAAGGATAGGCTCCTATTGGCTGGTGCGCGTCATAGTTTTAAGGAACGAGGCTCCCATTGGCTCTCGCGCGACGTTGTTTTAAAAGACACCACCAAAGAAGCACTCTCTATGGCGGTGCAGCGCACGCAGAGAGCCCTAAGGCCCCTGTATACTGAAAGGTAGTGCAAACCACTGTCTAAATTGAGAAAGAGAGGCTTTTCTTTGCCCATGCCCTTTCCCTCTCAAACATTCTCTTTCCCCTCGCTTCAATTGGATCGGGCGCGACACGTGGCCGTTGCCTTCTCGTGATCCTGCGTGATTCGGTGGTCTGCTAGAAATCAACGCCATCACTGGGAATGCACAAACAGCATTGCGAAAGGGAAGAAGCGTCTTGTCGTTCCGACGGGAAAAGAAAATCTTCAGCGACGAAGACAATGGCTCCACCGGATCGGTCGGAAAAGTTTCGACAGCCTCCGAGGGAAACTTTGCCAGGTAAGTCATTTTAAAACTCTGGATCGTAAACCTGTCTCTTTCGGTCTCGCCGATGAAGATTGCCTAGTACGAACATGAGACGAGATGAACACGGAATAAAATTACCGGCATGAAGAACTTTGTACGTCTTTTCCCGCGTATTCCATAATATAAACTGATTCGCTCGCTCTTAGCTCGCTTGCATTGAGTGGCCGATTTGAGAACAATTCGTTAGAGAGTGGGGTGCCACTAAGATAAAGAGGGCTGTAGTGTTACCGCGAGCGTATTGCGTCAGTAAAAGGAGAGTCACCAGCGATGGCACGCCTCGGGCTTTTGTTTGTGCAACATATTTCCGCGACCGGTGCTTCACAAATCGCAACTAAAAATATGCGATACTGTATTTATTTTTTTAGGATCGCTTCACGAGCGATAAGTTTGAGCTAGTGATCTTGGCAAAGACTGCCCTTGAGAAACTCAAGACATATGCATCTCCTTCCGTTTTTTCACACCGACCTCTTTCGAATGTGCGATATTTTGCTTTCTAGCACATATCTTCTTGTCTTCATCTTTGTATGTGATTTGTCTTTTGCGAGTAAAAAAATAAACATCATGTATTAGCAATAAAAAATGGCTCTTTTTTTTTTCTTGAAGGTTTTGCTGAAGGAGTTTTGTCCTCATTTTGTAACTCACGCAGTAATTAGGTACACCCGCGGGTGCGCGGCAAAGCTTAGACGCTTTGCAAGTTAACTCAAGGGTGTACCTTGCGCGTGAGAACGTCAAAACAATAACTCGAAACAGGAAGAATGAGAGGGCCTCACTACTATAGGGAATAAATGAGAAAAGCGCTAGCAAAGCAACTGAGCTCGCGCTATATTTTTTTTTATTGTAACGGAGGGGATACATAGAGTGTATGTGATGGGTAGTTATACGCACGCGGCGCGTAAATAGCAGACGTCACCTATTCCTCCGCGCGCATGTGCACATTTGCAAGTAGTATTCGACGTCTATAAAATCTGTATGAAGTAAACCAAGCTGCTGGGTTCACAAAACTATCGGT